TGCTTTTGCCATGGTGGTTGTCGCGAGCATGGGCCTAGCGATGGGACTTTACTTTCTTGCCAAGTCTCTACGGCAGCCGATTGGTGGTTACAGCACCTTTGGATGGTACCTACTCATCCCAACCAATCTCCTGATGATGGCGCAGCACATCGTCAGCATTGCAGCAGGCTCAAAAGAACTCCTCGGTACAAACCCTCTGCCATATCGTTATTTCAACGACAAGTGGCCGGTTCGTGGCCTCGTATCGCAATCACTTTTCGACATTTTCCTCGCCGCTGTGCTTCGTGTCGCGTTCTGGGAGGTCGTCAGCGGGACAAATGTATTAGCCAAGCGCCGTGCCGCGAAGATTTCGTTCATTGTTGTTGATGTGATACTTGGCGCCGCCCTAATCGGCTCAATGGGTGGTCAGTCAACATTCTCGCTAGGCGGATGTGTTGAATATGGCTGCGAGTGAGTCGTCAGTCACCTAATGACTAGTGAAGTAGCTGAAGTTCTATAAAGTAACCCGACACACATCTCGATGGTCAGTTTTTGGAACGCGTCGTTCGGATACGGGTTTCCTGCCATCCTCTTTCTGATGATGATCTTTATAATCGTGTGCAACACTCTCGCGGTCTTGTGGATCCGCAGAGTCAATATTCTCTCGCCTGTAAGTTCACCGCCCTGATAGTGAGTAATGCACGGCTAAGATGCACCTTCAGCTTGCCGTCCACATGAGCCGTTCAGGCTCAGCGACCGTGGGTCTCTGGCTGGTCACAGGAATAACTTTCATAAGCGTCGCTGGGTCCGACGGTGGCTACAGCGTTTGGAGGGGATATTACTCTTCAATTTCGTACTGGGTAGCCCAGGTGGTTGCACTAGGGTACGTCTCAGCAATCTTCGAGCTTCGCGTCCAACCGTTTCCTCACACGATTCTGCTAGCGCTTTGCAACATATTCTCCGTCGAAACCCATTTTGGCGAGCGACCCCGACCGTGATGGGGTAATCGAGAACCAGAAGGTCTGAAAAGCGTTAGATTAGAGCCTAGAGATGACGCTTTGGTCGATTTTAGCGGTGGACATTTGTGGTAGATACGATGAGACATTGATATGTTGCAGCTCAAGGTGATCAGTTCGAACATGCGGAACCAAAGCATGGAACTCACGGACACATGTAGTTAGCTATTTGCATAGTGCTGTGCAAATGAATGTAACACGTCAGGATGAGAATTCAGACACTCATGCCCGAACCGCGATGATCTACTCCAAGATTTGTTTTTCTATTGGCGCAACACCACTTTTACTTCTTTCAGTGACTGTAAGCCACTACCGACTTGAAGCATTCGAGCGCAGAAGATGAGAAGCACATACTGCAATGGCAGTTCGACCGCAATACGGGAAGCTTTTAAATATTATATAATGGGATTGTGACGGTAGTCGGGGGGAACCAACTTTAAAATCTGTGAACACTGTGGCAATTGCTCAGAGTTTTCACAAAACCGTCTCTTGTAGGCCGAGGGTCATGGAACGACTCGGTCAAGTGAGGCAGGACTCCACAGCATCAGGCCGATCGTGTTTTCTACAGCCCGGCAGTTTAATCTACTTGAATATCGCTTATTGACACCGTATAAAAAGTCGGATTGTTTGCCAAGAAACGACCCTTGTGCGTTCACCGGTCGTTTTACGGTCGTTTGGGGGTTGTTTATGATCCATGAAGCGCCTGTCACACAACGACCGCAAAACAACCAGTGAAGGCACAAGGGTCGTTTCACTGCCAACGACCTGACTTTGCCCGGTGTGACGACCACTGGGCAAATCTAGCCCGCTTAGGACCGTCGATGGCCGCATGTCCCTGAAGCAATAGCGGGCATAGGCTGGTTCGCCGGGACCCATTCAGGTAGGCAATACGCTAGAAGAGGGGTCTCAGGGTGCATTCATGGTTGAAGGGTCATGAGAGTCGAAGGGTGGCGCTGTCACAGCCAGCGGGCTCAGGTCCGAGAGCACAGCAATGATAGCTTGGCAGCGTGTATCTGTATTCTTTCGTGGAGCTGCCAAACTGCGGAGAGTTAAGAGCTGTGCTAGCCACGAAAACAATATAAATAGCCAGGTGGCGGCCCGCCTACCACCACTCGTCCTCACGCATTCGTTTCCCGGCTTTATTATTTTCTGACTAGTCCCCTCACTGTCATGTCCAACACTATCGACTACCGCGAGAAGCGTCAACACGAGTCTACCATTGCGATGGTTGTGGTTGCCAGCATGGCTGCTGCAATGGGGATCTTCATCCTTGCGACGTCCATGCTGCCCGCTCGTAATGGCCACAGTGTCATTGCATGGTACCTCCTCATCCCGACAACCCTTTTGATGATTGGACAGCACGCCGTCAGCATGGCGGCGGGCATCAAGATGCTCCTAGCGGACCAAAGCTTCTCATACTTCGACTACAACGAGAGATGGGACGCTGCAGGACTTGTGACACAATCTCTTTTTGACATCTTCCTGCTCGCGACACTTTGTGCGGCATTCTGGGAACCCATTTCCAGGACAAACGCGCTGGCCAAACGTCGAAAGGTTAGGCTGGCGCTTATCGTACTCGACGCAATCCTCGGGCTGGCCCTCATTGCCACCATGATTGCAGCTTCTCAATTCAACTACGGGTCTTGCGTAGAGCACGGCTGCGAGTAAGTTAATGCAGCTACTCAGCCGTATCTGACTTACATTTTTTTGCAGCAACGCCACTCATATCTCTCTCATCAGCATCTGGAATGCCACATTTGGCTATGGCTTCCCAGCATTCGCTCTCATCGCAATGGTGGTTGTCATTGTGTCCAATATACTTGCAGTTTCGTGGAACCGCAATGTGGATGTCGAGTCTCCCGTGCGATATTTCTTCGAATTGCTGTTCATTCGTGCTAACGAAACCATAAGCTCTCACGTGGATTAAGCCGCACCGTCTCGCCGGCGGTAGGACTATGGCTGATTACAGCACTTATATTTATTGGTAACGCTCAGTCTGATGATGGATACAAGGTCTGGAAGGTGTACTACGCCTCGATCCCGTATTGGCTCGCCCAGGTTGTGGTTCTCAGGTATGTGCATTTAAACCTAGAGATACTGTAGTGCTGACAGGGAGCCTCAGCACCCTTCAGCACACTCTCCGCCAGAGCGCAATCGTTCCAGCTGACCCGCAGAGCGCGCCATTTATCAAACGCCAGGCTGCTTAACAAGTCGACGCGTTTACCGCGCAGTATTGTCATGCATGATGGACTATTTGGACTTTGAATCCACGAGTTTTGACTCCTCCGCATTGTATAAAACCAGTAAGCTATTGGAGAAAGTATGAGAAGACTAGAGTACAGCACCACGCTTTCTTTACATGATGGTACAATCGCCGTTCTTTGACTTTGCGGAGTGACGAGGAACGGGCTGATTGTACTTTGGATCGTCTGCGTGGCCCATGCGCTGTGCCATTCCTGCCATAACCTTTCCCCACATCATGTCGTCCATCTCCTTGTCAGTTAGAGCAACAGCATCTTCTGCACCGTACAACAGAGTATCATGGTCAGTCGTGGGATCGTAGGTCGCCGCTGGCATTTCAGAGATGCCGAGCAATACGCATGCCGCCTCGCCTTTCTGTGTGAGCCACTCTCGAAGGCCGACTGTTTCCCCTCCAGCACGCTCTCCTTCCCCAAGTCCGACTGCCCAACGGTAGCATAGACCTTGAACCCCCAGATAGCATCCGACAATTGCACCAGCTACGACAGCGTTCGTGTCCGCGTCTCCACCTTCCATCGTGATGTCGGTGATGATACGCTCGAACATGTCGCGGTCCGGTACTTGCCCATTGGCACGCCACTCGAGCGCTTTGCGAAGGGCCCACATTGCGCTACCGAGGCATTTGTAGGTATAGCCAATAGACTTGCGCTCATCCAGGGCGAGTTGGTCAAGCGAGCTTGGCCAGACGTAAAGCTGCTCTAGCTCCGCACGGTGATTCTCGGAGAGCTTGTCCGGAAACTCTGGCCGGGCTTCGAGGAATGCGAGCGCGGCTGTAACGATGCCTCGGACATCCTGCTCGCTGGCAAGCTCGCCGCGCATGATCGCCACTATGATGCCTGACACAATAGCACAGGATACGAGGCATCGCGGGTCAGCGTGTGTTGTTGCTCCGAGCTGCATAGAGGCAAAGAAGGCGCGGTCCAGACCAGAGACACCGTCCTTATCCTGGTAACAAAGACAACCGATGATTGCGGTTCGCATTACGGCGCCATTGGGAGCCACGACGCGGCCTGTACTTTCCCACTTTCTGCTCGCGGGTCAGTTCCGCAAGAGTGACAATGAAGTGGATCTCGCCCGCACGCACTCCCTTGCTATGCCAATCGGATCCTCCAGCCAACCAGGAGCGTGGACCGAGGCTCCGACCGTTCGCCCAAGTCCAAGAGGCGGACGGGCGAGGGCGCGCAGTCCCTCTCTACACCAAACCTTCAAGCGCTGCGCAAAGTCCTTCGGGTCCAGCGTAGTGCCACCACTTCGCAGCCAGCTCAACAGAATGAGTAGAGACTGATCTGTGTCGTCTGTCCACGAGCCAGGAGAGAACATTCCGCGGTGACGGTCCATGTGCATTGCTTTCATGTTTGGTGTCGCAAGTGGATGCGAGCCTGGAGGTAGTAGACTTAGACTGGGAGTGCTTCCATACAGTTGAGCACTTTCGGCTTTGGGCAAAAACTCGGTGAACAAGCCGATGGCGTCTCCTAATGCCCCACCGATGAGGCATCCGAGCAAGCGGTCGTGACTTGAAGGCGGGAAAGGCGGTGAAGACATGAGCGCAGGTGGACAAGTGACATTGACACTGGCCAAACACTGAAACAGAAAGCAATGTCAGGCACAGCGATTCACGGATCGCCTTGATTAGGCTACCAGCAATCTAAGCAGCAGTTAGAACTTAAATATATAGATTAGTGATACTTGTTCTAAGCCTGCTGAGTTTCTTTGGTAGAAAGGTGTAAAATGAACAGGGGGCCAAAATGGTTCCGTCCGGGCTCGAACCGGAGACCTCTCGTGTGTGAGACGAACGTGATAACCAACTACACCACGAAACCCGTTAGTAGCTCAGTGGTACTACAGCATTAATCATTACTTTAGGTCTTCTTCCATCAAGTATCATGCGGAGTGTATATCGAAGAATCCCAAGAGACGAAGAAAAGCTACTTGACTACTTTTACCCTGAACCTTGATGCTCAACTGTTTGTTACCAAGTTGATCGTAATAAAATCATGAACTGCGCCACGCCGGATGTGAAACGACCTTGTCGCCCAAGTGTGGATGCAATCATCCCCTTGTGATCTTCAAACAGCCTGGGTGCAGCAACTCTAGCTTGTTCATTTGACTTGTCCGATTGTTTCTGCTTTAGCGAGTCATGAGCATGGACTCTCCTGAAATCTCTCCTGCGACAACCGGTGAACTGCCTCAGATTTAGTCGCAGACCGCAACACCACCGTCGTTCCTATCTCGCTTTGATCTGCACTAGGACGAGGTCTGCTCGTGACCAGCTGCGAGAAGGACAAAACATGGGACGACAACAGGAAGGCGTACCCTGTTACGATACAGAGTTCAGTAGCGACAACCTAGTACGTTTTGCGCAAGGGTAGGTCCGAGAAAGACCTGGCTCAGAGGTCTAGATATCCGGACGGAAGCTGAAGACTCCCAACCCCGCGTTCCGGCGCAACCTCGGTCGTCGGTCCACTGCAACAGAAATATACATTGGGTGCTCATAGACGTCGTCCAACAGATTGAAGTTGCCCGTTCGCAAATGAGTGATACCGTACGACCATCTGAGCACAATCGAGGTCTGATCATGTACAGTACGTTGATATCGGTGATTCACACGAGTCTGCGGTCAATTCGGTTAGTCCGACGGGACGGAGTGAGATGATCGCCGGTGAATTCACGATCCGCCTTTGTCTCTTGCACTTCGGTCGGCCACGCACCCTGGCTGTGGCACACCAGTCCTCGGCGATTCCGGATTTGTCGCGAGTCCGGGCGAAACGCGCTTGACAGTTGTGACAAACATTGAACAGGATGACGAGAGCGAGTTTTACAGCCTGTGAAAACTATTCACTTTCGCTTCGATGTTCTGCGCGATGTGGTCCATTCGATGCGCCAATTTATTCCGAATCTCCTCGAACTTGCTTCGTGATAAATACTTGAACTCTTTGAACTACTAGATAGATAATACGCCTTAACGCCCTGACGTGCTCGGGCATTCCAGGCCGTGCCACGGTTTCGATTGTGTTGGATATAGACGGTACGCCCTTAGCAGGACCAACCCGCCTCTTGGACTCTTGCCCAACTCTTTCGGGCTACTAAGTACCATATTCACTGCTACTCTCTAGTTCCAGCGTCGTCGTATATTCTCTTCGTCGCCATGAGTGGCAGTCTTGTGCCTTTCAACATTTCTCTCCCTGCCGCCAGCGGGTCTTGGTGTACGTCCTTTGATGCGCGCACCGGGAGGGCGACATCTGACCCCTTTCTAGATACGCTCCAGCACGCGATGGTCCTGCAGAAACAGTGCGCAGATGGCACTATCTTGGCTGACGCAGGCTCTGATTCAGCATCGTCAGGGATGGAACGCGTCCTACACTGGCAACACAACATGGCCTAACTTTCCGGCAGGTTTGGATCGCGGCGCGGGCTCCCTCTTCTTCCGCACACAGGCGGAACACTCTAGTGTCAAGCTGGACTTCACTGGTACGCGACCCAGCATCACTGCGCCTTCCTCTCAGGTCGTGTGACTCTTTCTACCTGCAGGCACTAGCATCGCATTATGTGTCTCTGACAATGGGTCCACTTATGCTTTGACTGTGGACGACAAAATCGTACGAGCCACAGGCGCAAGGGACGACCCGGCTTGTGCGAATTATCCTTCCAGTACGACGTTGCTCGCTACCGGGCTGGACTTCGCTGCACACAGTGCCACTCTCAACGTTCTCACACCATCAAACGAGCACGAGTTTCAATTCTTCGGAGGACAGGTTACCACAGACATCGTTCATGCAAGGTCCGTTCTTCATGTTGATCTTCCCGACCTTCGCGCTGATGTCCGCCTTGCAGTAATACGGACACGACACAAGAAGTTATCATTGATGATCAGGCTGCCGAATGGGTCATGGTCCCAGGTAGAGGAAAGCAGCAAGTACGTCCAGTTGTGCTCGTTATGATGCTCAAACTGCTTACATTGGTGCCTTCCGCAGTGGGATAATGGCGTTAGCGACCTGGCTTATGACAGCTCTTACTCTTTTACCTGTCAATACCGGGCAAATTCCACCGCTACGTACACATTCCAAGGTCGGTGCCTACGTGGTACTATGTCAGAGTAAACATTCTAACCAGACTTATTGAGTACAGGTGCCAGCGCTGTGGTGCTGTACGGAGCGCTTGACCGGGACTCACATGATTACGCTGTCTCTCTGGATGGCCGTATCAGCAACCTGGATGCCTCAGCCGCTGGCTGGAACATCGGCAATATGCCCATTTTCTTCGAATCCAATCTTGACCCTGCCAAAGTTCATACAATCACCATCAGCAACTTCAACGACCAGAACCCAACTTGTGCGGGTCCTAAACAGTATAACTTCCGTTCTTGCTGCGCAAAGCTCGACTCGTTGAAGCTCATCGGATCGTCGTCTCAACTGAGGTATGCACGTGCCAATTTCGTTGATCGTCCAGTCGCTGACGCAATGTTCATGTAGTCCTCCCGCTGTCACCCCTTCTTCAACGTCTACTTCAGCGTCTGTGACCGTGCTACCTGGACCTCCTGGACCGACCAACCCGGCGTCCGGGCAGCAGGCATCGCAGGATCAGGCGTCTCAACCTACGAACACCTCGGGAAGCAACGTGGGTGCCATCGCCGGAGGCGCCGTCGGTGGCATAATCGGCGGTCTCATCATCTTCGCCCTCGTGTTTTATCTCATGCGCCGGAATCGCCAAAGGCAGACGCGAGACATGACCGATTCGATGCGGCATGTGGACCTGAGTGGACCGAAGCAGTTGACAGCTGCAGCCACTACCCGTGGTGGTGTTGTGAGACCGTTCCTCCCTCCGCCGGCAGCCTCCTCATACAGCACTTCCTCGGCCGGGTATGCGTACACTCCGCCCACGGGAGACCGCAAAGCCGGTCATGGCACCCAACCGGTGTACCACAGTCCGCCAGCATCGCATGTCAGTAGCGGTGGCGGTGGGTCTCAGGCTGCAGCGCCAATCGGCGCGGCGTTGCAACAGGAGGACATGGACCGCGTGCTCCAGTTTGTTGCACAACAGATGGACCAACGAGCGGGGAGAAGTAACGCCGGAGAAACCCTTCCGTCGTATGACCGTCGCTAATGATCCCGATTTGACCTACTTTCATCGTTATCTTGGAATTTGGCTTTCAAATTCTTTATTTCACATTCTTTAAGAAGCCAACTAAACTACGCTAGGGCCGTGACGCAGTGTAAATACCGCGGACTTTGTTTAATATTTTACCATCAGTTGTACTAAATCACAAGAGCGATTTGACACGATGCCCTGTTACGTGCTCTCAAAGGTGCCTTCTTTGCATGTACGTTTTGATACCGCAGCAGTAATTACGCGTTGCAGCCAAATGGTTCATGATCCCGTGCAGTCCCACACTGGCCGTACAACAAGAGTAGTACCGACGCGCATACAACCACGACTTTTATAGTATAGACATCTCGTCGCTAGCCCTTGTACTCATTTCCGCTCCTATAGGTCGGCAATGTGTCCATGTCGGGAGTAACGCCCGGATTAGCCTGTATGCGCCTCGCGACGAAGGACAACACACGCTGCATGTCCTCGGTGGCGAGCGGCCGCGGCTCCGCGGACGCTTTCAATCCCGTTGCCGCCACTCCGCTTACTTCAGACGTGGCCACATGCGACCGATGGTCCGGATCTGGATCTAGGTCGAGTTCCACTGCGGTACGCACGACCTGTGGCGCAGATGAGACTACCCACGGCCTGATGCGACCATCGGTTACTTCGTTGGTAACATTGGCCGGCGCAAAAGAGCTTGTTGACGAGAAGGGATCGCTCAAGGCGGCTGCGCGGCGTTGACGACGGAAGCGGCGGAGCATTAGGGCCACGACGAGAGCGAGTAGGAGAGCGACCACAATGCCAATGATTGTACTCATGACTGCGACGACGGTGTTGAGACCGGACGGCGTCTGATTGTTGACGTTGTCGTCGGCTATCGGGGTCGGAGCCTCCTGCTATCACCGTGTCGGATGGGAAAAAGTTCTCAGACATAGATGGCGAGGACGATCTTTGGTTTTAGTCAGCCTTCCTAGTTGAACGAAGTTTGAAAATGGAACGACTTACGAGATAAGACTTGCGCGTGGACCGAGCAGCTGCAGGGCGTCAATTGCCACACAGCACGAGCGGAAATCGTTGATCTTGTAGCCGTCGTCCGCGCAGTTTGGAGATTGCTCGTTATAGTTGACGACGCTCAGGACATACTCCTTGTCGGGCTGCAGGCCCGTCTGGAGGAATAGCGGCGTCGATCCCACGCGCCAGCCAGATGCTGACGCATCGGCGCGGAAAACCTGGTCGTCAAGGTAGACACTGAAAGCATGCGTGTCGCTATATGTGTCGCCGTACAAGACGACTGCGCTCGCCCCTGTGGAGTGTTAGGGCTCCAATCAAGGCTACTAGGATGACTGGGCTCGCCTTTGAATGTATAGTTGGCAGTCCAGTCCGCGCGGTAAAAGCAGCTGAATGTTGTGGAGAAGTCGAAAGCCTTTATGTCTGCTGCCCCGTCCCACTGTGAAAGTCAATACGGGGATATGGTAGTGAGGTGGGAACGAACCTGTTGGGAGCCACGGCCAGGCGTGAACACCCAATCTGATGCGCGATCGTCGACCCTTACTTCCGTCACTTCACTCTCTCCGCTGAAATAGAAGTATCATGTGTTGGCGGTGAAACCATGACTGCAGGAACGGACGAACTTTCCAACCTCAATATCGGCCGTCACCACACCGCCAAAGAACCAAAACTCGCCGCCCAGCGGCGAGGATGTGACCTTGACCTCCACATGATGCGCGCCGAA